AAAAAAAAAAAAAAACCACTAATCTGACTCACTGGAGAGAAAAATTCCAAGGTGCAATGCCATGTGGTAAGAAAGAAGATTACTTTTTAAACGTTCAAGTTTAGACTTTGATCATCTAACAATCTGAAAGCCATATATATGTATGCATTCCTTACTTTCCCTTTTCTGAAAATTCTCTTTGGAACCTAGTGTTTGACATAAGTCATTAATAAACGCAGTCTCATTTTCCCAATGAGAAGAGACTCTACCTTTAGACCTGTTTTAAATGGCTTCTCCTTGGTTCCATCTCCCGTGGCATCATCGCCCTCTCGTTCAGAGACGTACAGCTCTGCTGTTTGACAAAATGAGAGTAACTTACTGGTTTGGCCATTAACTATTAGTCGCCTTACTACTTTATTCATTCTTTGCCTTTGTAAACAGAACAAGCATGATTAGTAAAAATTACTGAGGTCCATAAGAAATTAATATCCTAATTATTTCCCCACTCCCACATTTCAGGAACATCCATCTCATAAAAACATTAGTTAAAAATCCAGGTTTTCAAAGTGAACTCTGATCATTTTAATTTGTGATATTTATTCTCTCTACCTGGGCACCCAAAAATAAAAGAGGGGCTGTGAAGTTGGTCAGACGTATGCTGGGATCTTGGATTTTGTACCTTACAAGGCAGGGTGACTCTGCAAAACTTATTTAACTTTTCTGAGCTTACTACTTCTTTTGTCGCCCGGGGTTGGAGTGGAATGGCGCAATCTCGGCTCACTGCAACTTCTGCCTCCAGGGTTCAAGTGATTCTCCTGCCTCAGCCTCCCAAAGTAGCTGGGCTTACAGGCACCGACACGCCCAGCTAATTTTTTTTTTTTTTTTTTTGTATTTTTAGTAGAGACGGGGTTTCACTATTGCTGGCCAGGCTGGTCTCAAACTCCTGACCTGCCCTTGGCCTCCCAAAGTGTTGGGATTACAGTCGTGAGCCACCGCGACCCACCACTTATTTCTTTATCTATAAAATAAGAACAACAATACCCATCTTGAAAGGCTGTGCTGAGGATGAAATAAAATAACACATACAACTTAGACATCCTCGTGCCAGTTTTTGTAGAGACGGCAAATAAACACCAGCTCCCTCTAGTCTTTAAAGGAAACTGAAGCTCTGACGTTGGAAAATTTCAGAAGGCCTTACAACTAGAAGGTCTGAACAGTGACATCCATTTAGATCTCCTTTTTTTTTTTTCCTACTATACAGTATGGTCTCTCCCGAAACCTTAATAAACAATAAGGCTGGGAGAAAAACAACTGGAAGCCGGGTGCGGTGGCTGATGCTTTGTAATCCCAGCACTGTGGGAGGCTGAGGTGGATCACTCGAGGTCAGGAATTTGAGACCAGCCTGACCAACATGGAGAAACCCTAACTCTACTAAAAATACAAAATTAGCCGGGCGTGGTGGCGCACGCCTGTAATCCCAGCAACTCCGGAGGCTGAGGCAGGAGAACCGCTTGAACCCGGGAGGCGGAGGTTGCGGGGAGCCGAGATCGCGCCACTGCACTCCAGCCTGGGCAACAAGAACGAACCTCAGTCTAAAAAAAAAAAGATTAAAAAACCTGGAATCCTAAAGTCCCTTCCTGACGAGCTCTTTGAAGAACTGAAGGAGTGGGGCCTACCCAGCGTCTGAACCCCTCCCAGCGCCTGAGTCTCAGCGCGATAGGGATGTTTCGCAGCGGGGCAAGGGTAGGCCCGGAGCCGCCGCCATCACAGCCCGGGGGAACCAGGAGCTCGGGGAAGCCTGGCCCAGCCCTTCGAATCCGGGACCCAGCGAGGGCCAGGACCCTCCCTGCAACTGGACCCCAAACATTGGCGGCCTCTGGCAGGCACTAAGGAAAGCGCCGGAACCGGGCTTGAACAGAGTTCCTACCCCAGGCAGGGAACACCGCGCCATACACCAAGCCTTACCTAGCACCATGCCTGCAGTGGCCGTGATCACCTCCAAGGACACAGACGCAACACGGCCGCCGCCTTAGCACTCCAACGTGCACCAGCGGTTTCCGCTACAGGGGCGTTGCATCAGACAGTTTAGGACAGAAGGCGCCCACGTGAGTCAGCTGAGTGCCGCGGCGCCATTGGTTACAAGAGGTGGGCGAGCGGCGCCGGAGGCGCCATCTTTGGTGAGGGCAGAGGCAACTTCCAGGTCCGAAGACGCCCCGCCCTGCGCGTTTGCGCAGCTGGGAGGGCGCAGCCTGGTTCGGGGTTCCCAGGTCATCGAGACCCAGGCACAGCCTCACTTTTGCATCCTTCCTTCCCTGCCTCTCCAATTTTCCTTTCTGAATCTTCCAATTCTGCCCCAGCTGGAGGCGTGCGGGCCCTCTTACAAACCAGACCCTGATCCCCAGATACTGGAGGCTGGTTGAGTTTATGTCGCGAGACTGGGTGCGCGGGAATGGAGGGGACGCGGCGGGATGCATTAACTTTCTAACCTCCGTGAACCAACGTCCGTCGGTGTTCAGGACAGGAACTATGATGTAAGTTCATTTAAAGTTATAAGGGTCACTGTTAGGGAGGCCATAATAATGTGGTGGAAAGAACGAGAGCTTTGGAATACAAACCTGGTTTTCCCTCTTACTGTGTGTCTTCACATAAATTACCTAATCTGAATGAGCTTCAGTTTTTCTATTTGTGAAAGATGATATAAGTTCACTGTCCAGGCATGTAAGAGGTGCTAATAAAGAGTCTGTCATTATTTTTAACTTTTTCCTTTTTTGGTGTTTTTTTTGTTTTGTTTTTTGTTTTCTTGAGACTGGGTCTTCTCTGCTGCTCGGGCGGGAGTGCAGTGGTGTGATCATAGCTCACTGCAGCCTCGAATTCCTGGGCTCGAGCGGGCGTCCCACTTCAGCCTCCCAAGTAGCTGGGACTGCAGGTGCACGCCACCACACTCAGCTATTTTTTTTTTTTTTTTTTAATTTTTGTGGAGACGGGGAGGTGGGGAGGAGGCTTCCTGTGTTGCCCAGGCTAGTCTCAACCTCCTGGAATCAAGTGATCCTCCTGCTTCAGCCTTCCAAAGTGCTGGTCTTACAGGCATGAGCCATCATGTCTGGCCCATTATTCTCAATTTAGTGGAATACCAGAGTTTGTCCCTGAAGCAAAAGAAAACTCTTTTTGTTATGAAAGGTCCTCAAAAATAACTCCATACATAGGTTCAAGGCCTATCAAGAATATAAACCAGGGTCGGGTGCAGTGGCTCACGCCTGTAATCCCAACACTTTGGGATGTGCTGAGGTTGCTGGAACCCTTGGGGCCAGGAGTTCAAGATCAACCCTTGGGGCCAGGAGTTCAAGATCTGGCCAACATGATGAAACCCCTGACTACTCAAAATACAAAAACTAGCTGGGCGTGGGGGCATGTGCCTGTAAACACAGCTACTTAGGAGGCCGAGGCAGGAGAATCACTTGAACCTGGAAGGGGGGGTTGCAGTGAGCTGAGATTGTGCCACTGCACACTCCAGCCTGGGCAACAGAGCAAGACTCCATCTAAAAAAAAAAAAAAAAAAAAGAATATGTACTAAATACTATTCCTAAAGAATATTTGAGCCAATATTTTGAACTTTCCGTTTTCCTCTTTGCTGAATGTTTTCTGTTGGCTCATGGATTGGGATCAATTGCTGCAAAGCAAATTACCCCAAACTTTAGCAGCCTAAAACCCCAAACATGTATTACCTTAGCAGTTTGAGACAGAGTCTCAGTTCTGTCTCCCAGGCTGGAGTGCAGTGGCGTCATCTCGGCTCACTGCAACCTCTGCCTACCAGGTTCAAGCGATTCTCCTGCCTCAGCCTCCTGAGAAGCTGGGATTGCAGGTGTGTGCCACCACACTTGGCTAGTTTTTGTATTTTTTTGTGGAGATGGGGTTTCGCCATGTTGGCCAGGCTGGTCTGGAACTCCTGACCTCAAGTGATCCGCCCGCCATGGTCTCCCAAAATGCTGGGATTACAGGTGTGAGCCACCATGCCAGGCCCTACTTTACACAGTTTCTGATGGTCAGAAATATAGTAGTGGGTTCGCTAGGGGTCCTGGCTCAGGTCTGTCCTGAATCATGCTGAGGGCAGGGACTGCAGTCATCTGAAAGCTTGGCTGGGTGGGGATCTGCCTTCGGGCTCACTCACAAGGTTAAGGGCAGAAAGCCTCAGTTCCTTGCCAGGTGGGCTCCCCATAGAGCTGCTAATGATACAGCCACTGACTTCACCCAAAATAAGTGATCAGAAAGGGAGAATATTAGTTACCTTTTTTTTTTTTCCTTGAGACAGAGTGAGATGGAGTGGCACTGTGGCCTGGGCTGGAGTGCAGCAGCGCCATCTCGGCTCACTGCGATTTCCACTTCCCAGGTTCAAGCGATTCTCCTGCCTCAGCCTTCCAAGTAGCTAGGATTACAGGTGCCCGCCACCATGACCAGCTAATTGTTTTGTATTTTTAGTAGAGATGGGATTTCACTACGTTGGCCAGGCTGGTTTCAAACTCCTGACCTCGTGATCCACCTGCCTCAGCCTCCCAAAGTGTTGGGATTACAGGCGTGAGCCACTGTGCCCAGCCCCTTTTGTTTTATGATAAATTACCCCAAAACATCAAATGGTATTTGTTGTCTCACACTTCTGTGGAATAGGAATCTGGGCATGGGTTAGCTGAGGACTTGGAGCTGAGTCTCTCCGTAGGCTGCAGTGAGGGTGTCAGCTGGGGCTGCAGTCAGTTTAATTTGAGACTCTTAAGTCTCACCTGGGGTGCATGACCTTCCATATGCACGCCGGTGGGTGTTGGCCAGAGGTCTCCCTCAGTTCTTTCCACATGGGTCTCTTGCTTGGTTAAAGCCAGCGAGCAAGATGGAAGTCAGAACCTTTAGTTGCCTAATGTCAGAAGGGATATCCCAAAACTTTTGCCATATTCAATTAATTAGGATCAAGTCACTTGGTCCAGCCTACACTCAAAGGAAGGGTATTACACACGGGCATGGATGCCAGCAGGTGGGAATCGTGGGCCCTCTTAGAAAGCTCCCAACTGCAGTGACCAAAACTGAGGATGCAGTGCTGTTTCTAACCTGACTTGTTAGGTGAAATGTCATTGTCTCTCCATATTCTACCGGTCACACAGACCAGCCCTGGGGTGAATACCAAGAGGTGGAGCTCAGTGGGTACCATCTTAGAGGCTGCCCACCACAGCCCCTCCAGATGAATTTCTCCTGCTCTGCCCCAGAGGCTGACTTATGTGAACCACATCAATGGGCTCCCTCGTCCTCTGACTCCTGGACAGGTGCAGCTAATGGAGAACACTTGTGGAAGAACAGAGGGGTGGTGTGAGGTTGGGGTCTTTATTTCCCTAGCTCCTCATTGCAGGCTGGCTGCATCCTCACTTGGGGGCCAGCACTCCTGCCAGGTGGCACCAAGAGACTCATCTGAACTGCCCTTCAGGAATTTCGTTTCATTTGATCATTAAAACTGAATGTGTAGGCTAGGCGCGGTGGCTCACACCTATAATCCCAGCAGCTTAGGAGGCTGAGGCAGGCAGACCGCTTGAGGCCAGGAGTTCAAAACCAGCCTGGGCAACATGGCAAAAACCCGTCTCTACTACAAATACAAAAATTAGCTGGGTGTGGTGGCATGCTCCTGTAAGCCTAGCTACTCAGGAGGCTGAGGCAGGAGAATTGCTTGAACCTGGTATGCAGAAGTTGCAGTGAGCCAAGATCAGGCCACTGCATTCCAGCCTGGGTGACAGAGTGAGACTCTTCTCAAAAAAAAAAAAAAATTGAATTTACGCAGCAACATTCTGTTGTGAAATAAAAAGTGTGTATAGGTTCGTACAAGCAGGCTGTACAAAAAGGTCACTTAAATTCCCACCCCCTCCTCAGTCCACACCTAGAGATTCACAGGATTTCTCTAAGTCCAGTTAGTACAGGATGGAAAAAATGGGGCTCGTGCTGACATGTGCATAATATGCTAGCACATGCCAGACATGAACAGCTATTCTACTGTAGCCTCGCTTGGGAGAAGCCCTAAAAAGACTGGTGAAGGGAAGTCATCTCAGACGGTGGAACTGAGCACTGTGACTGCTTTTCCACTTCTCAGCTAAGTAGAGATAGCCTGAAGGACTGATGGACACTGGTTCGAGGGTTGGCCAGTTGATCAGGGACTAAGAAAGAACAAGAGTAAAGATTAGGAGGTCTGGTGGGGATGTGGATGGAGCTTTTTGAATGGGCACTGAACGTGAAGATTTTTGTCCTCTGCAAACATCCATCAGAAAGCATTCGGTATGCAGGAGGTCTCTATCATCTGTTGATGTTGGACTTTTTCCCCCAGAACATCCCCGTTCTTGGTCAAAGAGCCCATGTACGAATGCATGTGTTCAGCCTCATGGACTGCCCTTCATCCTGGCTGATCTGGCTGGCCACTGTCACTGTTAAGTACCCAACCTGCCAACAGCAGAAGCCAACTTTGAGAACCTGATGGGACACGATTCTTTTTTTTTTTTTTTCTGAGACAGAGTCTGGTTCTGTTGTCCAGACTGGAGTGCAGTGGCATGATCTCAACTCACTGCAACCTCCACCTCTTGGGTTCAAGTGACTCTCCTGCCTCAACCTCCTGAGTAGCTGGGACTACAGGTGCCTGCCACCATGCCCGGCAAATTTTTCTATATTTAGTAGAGCTGGGGTTTCACCATATTGGCCAGGCTGGTCTCGAACTCCTGATGACCTTCTGATCCGTCCGCCTCCCAAAGTGTTGAGATTACAGGTGTGAGCCACCTCACCCAGCCAGGACACGATTCTTTAGGGAGACTAGCTGGCCACTTGACGGCAAGTAAATTATATCAGACCCCTGGAGGAAGCAGGGATATGCCTCCCAGGTGTAGACTCAGTCCACTCAGGGATGTGCCTTCTCTGCCTGCAGCACCCACATGTACAGACTTACAGAATGCTGCATGCTCTCTATGGTACACCGTATCTCTCACCTGGGGACACATTTCAGTAAAGGATGTGTGACAGTGAGCTCATACCTATGGAATTCAGTGCTCTAACCACGTGCATTGTGTTAATTTAGATTATTATTTAAAATAATCAGACATGCCCCTGTGAACCCAGAAAATCAGAGACACATCTTAGTTGATTTAGAAAGTTTATTTTGCCAAGGTTAAGGATGCACCTGTGACAGC